TTAGGATGGGGAGGCACAGGCATGCTGTCCTGGGCTGCAGCCCAATCTGTGCAGCTGGAGCCACTGTCTCTATGTTTAGCAGGCAGGATCATGCCTCGCTTGAACTCTTTTCACTTTGCAGGATGGAAAAGGAAAGAGTGAAGGAAAGAGTATGGCCTTTTCAACCACATCAGACTCCAGGTTTTTTTTTTTTTTTGAGACAGAGTCTTGCTGTGTGCCCCAGGCTGGAGTGCAGTGGTGTGATCTCAGCTCACTGTAACCTCTGCCTCCCGGGCTCAAGCCATCCTCTTACCTCAGCCTCCTGAGTAGTTAGGACTACAGGCATGCACCACCACACCTGACTAATTTTTGTACTTTTGGTAGAGACGGGGTTTCGCCATAATGCCCAGGCTGTTCTCACACTCCTGGGCTGGAGCCATCTGCCCACCTCAGCCTTCCAAAGTGCTGGGGTTAGAGGCATGAGCCTCCGCACCTGGCTTTCATGCGTACCTGAGTCAGGATCCTGCAGAATCCCTGCTGTTATTTGGAAGGCGCGTTGGGAAGCCATGTTCCTGAGCTGCAGTTGTGGTGCTGAGGACTGAACATTTGAATTAATGTATTGAATTAACGTGCTTTAGCATTCAGTCTTTTCTTTGCTGGGGTGGGAGGGGATGGCTATCATGGAGAACCTGTGGTCAGAGGGGAGGGCTGTGGTCAGCACTTCTCTCTCCCTCCTGTAGCTTCAGCCTCTTTGCTCGCAGAAGTTTCTGCCTCCTCCCCTAACCCTGGGCTTGGGAGTAAAGCAGGGATAGGGTCAGAGGGTGGGAGGGTGGCTGGAGTTCTCAGCACTGCTTTGTCCGAAGAAATCCTCCAAAATGCTCTCACTGTCTCTTGTGACCCTTTTTAAAGTGGACTAAGTGTTGTGGGGCCGGTTCCCAGGCATTTTCTTTGTGAATTCCGCACACTGACACCCTGTTACACCAGTATCCAATTCCGGAGAAGGCCTCTCCCTTTCTGATCCATTCAAAGGATTCTTAAGACTGACATTCTGAGATAGGGTCTCACTGTCATCCAGGCTGGAGTGCAGTGGTGCAATCTTGGCTCACTGCAGCCTCCACCTCCCAGGCTGAAGCGGTCCTCCCACCTTAACCTCCGGAGTTGCTGGGACTACAGGTGCGGGTCACCACACCTGAATCATTTTTGCATTTTTTTTGGAGATAGGGTTTCCTTGTATTGCCCAGGCTGGTCTCAAACTCGTGAACTCAAGTGATCTGCCCACCTTGGCCTCCCAAAGTGCTGGGATTATAGGCATGAGCCACCATGCAAGCGCCCCCCACCGTTTTTTTTGTTTTGTTTTGTTTTTGAGACAGAGTCTTAGTCTGTCACTTAGGCAGGAGTGCAGTGGCATGAACACAACTCACTGTAGGCTTGACCGGGCTCAAGTGATCCTCCCACCTCAGCCTCCTGAGTAACTGGGACTACAGGCGTGTGCCACCGTGCCCAGCTAATTTTTTTTTGGTAGAGACAGAGTCTCCCCATATTGCTCAGGCTGGTCTCAAACTCCTGGGCTCAAGCAATCCACCCATCTAGGCCTCCCAAAGTGCTGGGATTACAGGCGAGACTCACCACACCTGGCCAAGGCTAACTTTTTTTTTTTTTTTGAGACGGAGTCTCATTCCATGGCACATGCTGGAGTGCAGTGGTGGGATGTTGGCTCATTGCAAACTCCACCTCCCAGGTTCAAGTGATTCTCCTGCCTCAGCCTCCCAAGTAGCTGGGATTACAGGAGTGCGCCACCATGCCTGGCTAATTTTTGTATTTTTAGTAGAGACAGGGTTTCACCACGTTGGCCAGACTGGTCTCGAACTCCTGACCTCAGGTGATTCATTCACCTTGGCCTCCCAAAATGCTGGGATTACAGGAGGGAGCCACTGCGCCCGGCCCAGGCTAACTTATTCTTAAGAGAGTGAAGGCTGAAGTTTGTAGTTCAGTCTGCACTTGACCTCCCTCAGGTCTCTGAACTCTTTGGCACATGTGGCTGCAACATTATTTAGCAAGAGGCATCCCCCTTCTGTGTTGTGTGGCCTCTTCAGCAAAGAGGTGCCTGAGAGTCCCCTCTGAATAATGACATATTTTCTCTAACAACCAAAATTTGTCGTTCAAAGATGCTTATGCTAATCTCAGCTGTAAGATCTCAGACAGTCCTAAGAGAAAGGCACGTTGAATCCGCTCATTACCTATCCCCACAATCTTCTAGGGTTCCAGGGCTTTCATCCTGAGTGAAACCTACACTGCTTGTTCCCTTTTTTCATTATTTAGTGTGAGTGAAGCCAAAACTCAGTCATTCTCTGAGGTGGAGAAGTTTCATACAGATTTTGATGTCTGATATTCTATCTGCTTGCACTGTTAAATTTCTCAAATACGTATATTTGTTTTCTCAGCAAAATAGTAAGTTTATTGGGGAAACGAGGAATCACAGTTCGTCCTTCCATGGGAAGGAACCAGCTGCCCTGGGATCTCAGCAGCTTCACTGGTGAAGAGGATGGGAACATTTTCCGCCTAAGCAGAGGCTGTGGCTGCAGGGCTTGTTGGTGACAAGGACAAGGATAAGTCAAGACTTCCATAACTTGAACCAAGGAGGTGAATAGGAAGCTCCTGCTGTTAGAATTTCCTATTCACATCTTCAAAACTTTTACTGGCCAAGCGCAGTGGCTCACAACTGTAATCCCAGCACTTTGGGAGGCTGAGGCAGGAGGATCGTTTGAGGCCAGAAGTTCTACAGCAGCCTGGGCAACCATGTGAAGCTCCATCTCTACAAAAAGTAAAGATAAAATAAAAATTAGCCGACCGAGGTGGCATGCACCTGTGGTCCCAGATACTTGAGGGGTTGAGGCAGGAAGATTACCTGAGCCCGGGTGTTTGAGGGTGCAGTGAGCTGTGATCACTCCCCTGCCCTCCAGCCTAAGTGACAGAGCCAGACCCGTCTCGGAGAAGAAAAACCAAACTTTTTTACTGGGGCTCGATATTACTTGGAATAAAGAAGCCACAACAATATAATCACTCTGTTACTATCTAGACTATCAGCATACTAGCGATATGAATCATAACAAAAGTATAACACGATTTTATCTATAGAGTCACACATTGAAACAATTGGGAGTAAACTTATCAAAGGAAACAGATAACTGATTATCATACTTATGAATAATTTCACAAAGAATGCGGTGACTTCATTCACCAAGGATTTCTGGAATCCTGAATTCCAGGTCAATGGTAACGCCTCAGAGGACAGAGGGAGGAAAAGGATTGAATCATACCAAGGCATTTTTTAATTATTCCAAAGGTTATTCTCAAGTGAAAAAAAAGACATCATTGTTATTATGATGGTATTCCTGAAAATCAAGAGATTCTAATTCACACAAGAGATTCCATCCTTTGACAGCTGTCACGAAGGATACAATATTTTTAAAAAATTATTCAGTTGAAATAATTAAAGTTTGGTTGAAAAAGTCAAGATGTTATATGGGGGTCAGTTCAGCTCTATATTTTGTAGGTACATCAATCTGGAGTCTTAGGCACAAAGAATAGACATCCAAAGAAATCCAACTTGCGGCCAGCTGTGGTGGCTCACGCCTGTCATTCCAGCAATTTGGGAGGCTGAGGTGGGAGGGTTGCCTGAGGCCAGGAGTTTGAGACCAGCCTGGGCAATGTATCCACTGATGTTGTCTCGTCCCAGGGATGATCTGAGGAGAGCTAGCTGCAGTATTACAGGAAAATGACATCTTTGAATGACTGTCTTTCATATGAGGCCCTGAAAATGCTCTATGGACAAGAATTGTTATGCCCAGACCGTTTATTCCCC